CAAGCCACTTAAGGATCTCTTCTTGAACGACCTCTAACATAGGTGGATTAAGCCTTCTAGGGTGTTCTACTTTAGGTATGGCATCAGGTTCTAGGCTTATTTTATGGCTGCAAAGTGTAGGACTTAGCCCCTTCAAGTCTGCCAAAGTCCAACCAATTGCTTGGCTATTCTCTCGCAGGACTCTTAGGAGGTTTTCTTCTTGATTTTTGGTCAAAGCACTGGAAATAATCACTGGTAGGGTCTGATCTGGACCTAGAAATGCATACTTAAGGTCGTCGGGCAGGTCTTTAAGATCAAGTTTAGGTGGAGAGACTAAGGATGGAGCTAGCTTAGGTCTGTTCTCAAGTAACTCAGCCCTAAACACAGGTTGACTAAGGTTCTCTAGCTCCTCGAACTCAGCAAGGTATTCAACTAAGTTCAAAACTTCACTAGACAAACTGTACTCTAAGCATTCAAGTTCTACCCTATCTAGGCTATTGCACAACACAGAATCAAGCACATCATCACTAGACAAGTTAAAAACAGCTTGAGCACAATCATCAATCACATCCATAGAACAAAGTTGATTATTTTCAATGGGACTTTTCATCGTAGAGGATAAGTTAAATTCAATCTTTTCACCATCAAATTCCAGTGACAAAACCCCATCACAAACATCAATCTTAGCTCTAGCAGTTTTCATAAAAGGTCTACCAAGAAGAATGGGTATGTCAGAGGTATCAGAACCCATGCTCAACACATAAAAATCAGCGGGAAAAACTAAGTCATTGACTTTCACCAAGATATCTTCAAGAAGACCCTCGGGATAAGTATAACTCCTATCGGCTAACTGAATCACTACCCCTGTCGGTTTCAATTCCCCAGTATTAAGCTTATCAAAAATGTCTTTGGGCATTACATTAATAGAAGATCCTAAATCCAACATGGCTCTATCAAAGTGCAAATCACCAATAAGACAAGGAATGGTAAAAACACCAGGATCCTTACATTTTGGAGGAATTTTCTTTTGAAAAACTGCAGAGACATTTTCACCCATTCGTACCCGTTCATTCCCCATTAGCCTATTCTTGTTGGTGCAAAGCTCCTTTAGAAACTTAGCATATTTAGGGACTTGCTTAATAGCTTCTAAGAGAGGGAAATTAATCTCTACCTTCTTAAAAGTATCAAGAAGTGCAAGATCAATTTCTTTAGGCTTTCTAGGTTGAAAGAATTTGCTAGGGAAGGGTGCCTTAGGGTGAGGTAGGGCTGGATTTCTATCACTAAGGTCAGTTTTCCTTTTTTCTTCAGATTTTTCAGCCTCATTATCCTCATCTAAGATGCTGGTTGCAGGTTCTAAGGGCTGGTCTTCAGAGTCCAAAGGCTGAATTTCAGGTTCTAAGGGCTGTTTTGGACCTATAAGTTCAACTTCTAACTCTTTTTCCTCTTCCCTAATGCTTTTAGGTTCTTTGAGCACTTTTTTATTCCTTAACTCTATAGCACTAAGGTTCTCTTTAGGGTTGGGAAAGGGTTGAGAAGGCAGCCTATTGTTCATTTGAGCTTGCATATTACTAATCAAAGTTTCAGAGGCTGTTTGTCTTTCCTGAAGTTGCTTAAGACTTATGTCAACCGAAGTAAATTTATCATCCATCTTTTTAAGCACTTGTTCTAACATTTGGGTTTCCCTATCTTGTTGGGGAGGTGGATTATTAGAAAAATTCAGATTATTACCCCTGGGAGGACCATAACGCAGATTTGGATGATCTCTCCAACCCTCGTTATAAGTGTTAGAAAAAGGATCATACTTCTTTTGGTTGTTATTATTGAAAAACAAAGCATTGACTTCAGGATTTTGGAGTGTTGGACACGCATCAGTAGGATGTCCTTCCAAGCAACACACTCCACAAGGTTTACCCTTACTACCCCCTACATTACCCACAACAAGTTTAGAAATAGCATCAGTTAAGGCAGAAAGCTTATATTCTAAAGAAGACGAATTACCTATCTTGCTAACCGGCCTCACGACGGTATCTCGAGTTCAAAATTGTTGAGTATTTTGGGCAATAGTAATAAAAAGCTCCCTCGCTTGAGCGGGGGTTTTGTTCACTAATGCACCACCGCTAGCGGCATCAACAATGCCCCTCTCGGTAGGCAAAAGTCCTTCATAAAAATATTGGATTAACAGCTGTTCAGTTATTTGATGTTGAGGACAAGAACAAACAAGCTTATTAAAATACTCCCAATACTCAGAAAAGTTCTCCACATTCAACTGTTTAACCCCATAAATCTCTTTCCTAATCGACCCAATCCTAGATGCCGGAAAAAATTTCTCAAGAAAAGCTTTATGAAGGTTGTTCCACGTTGTGAAAGATCCAGCTGGCATATAGTAAAGCCAATCCTTGGCCTTATCGGAAAGGGAAAAAGGGAAGGCTCTAAGTCTGATTTGGTCGGGAGAGACTCCTTTAGGCACCATTGCACCACAAGTGATCATAAATTCAGATATGTGCCTAAAAGGATCCTCTCCAGGAAGACCATGAAACTTAGGAAGAAGATTGATAAATCCAGAATTAAGTTTAAGGGGTTTTTCCAACTCACCATAAGTAATGGAAATAGGTTGAATGGTCAAGTCAGGTGCAGCTAATTCTCTAAGAGTACGGTTAGGGGCTGCCATCCTAGAACTTGCTTGATTATAAACGGTTGATTCTTTACAATCAGATTCACTTATGTTTTGCACGCATACACTCACAGGTGTAATTTCAGATATGGTAAGAGCAGACCCAAACAGTTCCACAAGATTATCAAAAATTAAAAGAAGGTTCGGCTTCACTTACCTGGTCGCTATTACTACCTGTTTCACTTTTGCTTTCTTCACCAATTACTTTACCACTTCTTAATCGCATAAACACAAGCTGCATAAGTTGACACTACGCCAGAAACAGCATCAGACCACTGTTGATTCACTACTGTTTATGCAAACACAGTAGTTGAAAAAAAACAGACTACTGTAAGTTTTTCATAAGAACAGAACGGTAGTCTAGGTTGTATGCTTTAAAACTATTTTTCAAGTTTCGAGAAACGGTAATGTTTCATTAGTTGTCTGTCTCAGTTCAAGATACAGTT